AGAGAGAGATACATGTAATTTGCACAAAGAAACAGATATCTTAGTAAAGTATAAAGAAATGATCAGAAACGAAGATTAATTGCATGTAAATTTGGAACAGAAAATTGATTATCAAAACATTGCTCTTCCTTTCAATTTTGAAAAATAAACTTGTCCAAAGCACACTATGTGTTGAGAAATTGAAAGTAATGAGCCAAATGTTGTGAGAACAATGAGAAGTAGCTTAATTTCCCACCATGGCTACTAGAGATTTGGTAGCGCACACAGTTTTGTCCTCTTTTAACGTTACAATCTAGAGAGAAAACAAGATCAAAAACAGCTTGACTAATAATAATTTTATTGAAAGACTATTTTTACAGACGTACCTTCTCTAATTACGGCCACCTGTATAAGACAACCATCTGTATAAACAGTCACTTCCCACTTCCTCCCATGCATATATTATAATTAAACATTTTATAGGGAGCTCTCGTGGCCTACAGGTTAAGGTGTTCGCCTGTCATTCAAAGGTCCCGGGTTCGAATCCGGGTAGCGACGGGAAAATTTTCTTCTTTAAAATTGTCTCCTTTCACCTCCATTCCTGCTCTCTAGCAAAGTTCTATCGTCTGCTTTCGTCTCCACTTTCTGCCCTCACCCGCTCACCTCCTTTGCCCCCTCCTCTGGGCTCCTGACTCTTTCTGCCGCCTTTCTACTGCTGCTACTCCTTGGCTCCTTCTTACTGCTGTCTTTCAGCCACACCCCCGATCTTCTGGAAGGAAAGATCTACACCTAGCCTTCTCGGACTAGGACGAAAAATCTCGGAGGACCCGTGTGCATTTTGCTCACGTTAAAGATCACTTGGAGGTCTAAAATCGGTAATAGTAGGCTTCAGCCGCCTCCCGGGCAAAATTCAAAATTTCCTACCAACTGAAAATGTTTAATGTGTCCCGCGCGCTCATATGACCTTATGCAGTAAAACACTTACAAAAAAAATTTCTATCCTAATTACACTGTGTAAGACGTCCGCATGTCTAATGACGCCACTTTTCTCCTCGACAAGGGGGCCGTCTTCGACAGGTTTGACTGTACTCACATTTGATCTTGTGTCGAGCAGTTCAAAGGTTACAGACTCTCCTTCTAGCGTTGTCGTACACTTGTACTTGTTATCTGGGGAACAACAAAGAAAGGGACAGAACATTTATAAAGGTGTGTACTATGGTGATACGTACTGGGCCTAGCGAACAAAAGAAAAGAGAAAAAAACATTTTAACTACAATTTGATAACCTCAAATTCTAGTATTATGCAGTTAACTAATTAACACTGAGTATGCTGAATCATAACAATATCATTATGCTCTTCCAAAAACCTCTGTACCTTGACACGATGAAATCAGGCGCTTGTCAGGTTGTTTTTTGCCTTATAAAGTTATTGGTATCGTCTTAAAACTTGATCTGAGATATTTGCTATTTAATGTGTGTGTGTGTTTGTGTGTGAGTGCGTGTGTGTGTGTGTGTTTGTGTGTGTGTGTGCGTATGTGTGTGGAAGAGAGATGGGGATTCGAGGGGAGAACGTGTCGTCGGGAGTTGGAGGAAAAATTATCTGGTAAATGGACGCAAAACTTGGTGTCTTCCATAGTTTGGAAACTGCAAATTTTTTAATGCCTTTGATCAACGTTTTTCTGTAACCTCCACACAGAAATGTGTTTCTAAATTAACATAAAAGGTGTTAAGCAAAAAAATAAATAAATTGCTCAACGGGCAAAATCAATGTCGATTTCTTTAATTTCATTTGAGGAGTGCATGATTCCACCACGTTGCCACACATATAACATGATTCAGCGTACTTGGCGTGAATTTCACTGTACTAAAATAAGGGTTTATCAAAATTCCGCTTTTCTTTTTCTCGCTAGCGTATTTCAATTTTTAGCTTAATCTGAGATTCATCAAACTTTCACGCTGTCTTATAAATAGTGACCACTTACCATTTGCTTGGTCATATTCCCCAATGAATCGCTTCGTGAGAAACCGAACACACAGAGCTGGAAGATAAAAATATAAAAAAAGAAACGTAAATATACACTTGTTGTTAGCATTATCAAAAAGGCGAAGAATCCCTTAAGGGAAAAGGGGTCTCAAGTTTGAATTGTTTTTGGAACACTTTTAGTTATCATTAGGAAGACATTTTGCGAAAATTCAGTGGTGGGAAAAGGGAAAGAGAGAAAGAGAGAACCTAAGAGAGAGAGAGAGAGAGAGAGAGAGAGAGAGAGAGAGAGAGAGAGAGGGAGAGAGAGAGAGAGAGAGAGAGAGAGAGAGAGACTGAGAGAGAGAGAGAACTATGTTATTTTGAAAGTTAGAAGATTGTTTTCTGGCTCAATTACCCCTCTCCCCTTCCTTAAGGAAATAAATAATACACATAAATAAAGAAAAATTTTAAAAAAATCATATTACATAAAAATTAAATTATAGAATTTGAAAAAGAAGGGGGAAAGGAAGAAATGGATACAAAACAAAACAAAACAAAACAAAACAAAACAAAACAAAGCAAAGCTAAGCAAAACAAAACAAAACACAAAACAAAACATGGAACGAAACAAGAAAGAGCAAAGCTCAAAGCAGAAGACAGTCATGCTGCAATGAAGTCTCCCCACACGTCACAACGATGGCAAATCTCTTCTCAAATCTACTTCACAATCGTGGCAGATGGAAGCGGAGTGGTTTTTGGAGAGGCTTCATTTTTTAAAATCTTGAATTCCAAGACAGTAGTTCACTTTGTATCAGTGAAAAAAACCTAAAGGAACTCCATGGCCCCACTGTAATAAGTGGCATAGTGCAAGTGTTTTCTCTATGTGAAGAGTAGAAAACACAAACAAAGATACAAACGAATTTTTTTCTTTTACCATCTGGAATAAGTCTGCTCTCGAAATAAACAATAATGTGTGTTATTGCTTTCGATTTTTTAAATTATGTATTATGTAGATATCTATATAATCTGATATATCTTTATTAAGGTCTGTAATAAATTCATGAATTTGATTTGAAGATGAATCTGTTGTGATAAGTGTATTGTTTTCAGCTTTATTTTACTCTTCATGTTGCCATTTTAGAAAAGTAATATATCATTCAAACTCAGTGTCTACCTTCAAGTGTTCATACAATTCATGTACAGCAAAGATAAATTTCCCACAGGGACAATACAGTGTAACTTTTCTTATCTTATCTTACTTAATCTTATCTTATTTTATCTTTTCTACCTTCTTATCTTGTCTATCTTATCCCTATCTTATCTTATCATCATCATTATCATCGTCTTCATCTGCATCAACAGTTTGCCTGTTTCCCTTTTCCCCGTTAATTATATACAACAATTACTATAATGTCAACGCATTTTCTACGGAACTCACAGATATCTGGCACCGAAACAGGACACGGGACAAAAACAAATAAACGAACGAACAAACAGACAAAAACAACTAGCGAACGAACAAACAAATAGAAGTAGGCAATTTACTTCGTTGACACAAATTGGACAAAGATCTAACTAAATATTTAATGTGATGGTACCTAGTTACACGGCAGATTCTGCTAAATACGATCCCCACCCTTTCCTCCTCCAACTTTCTTCTCTCCATCCCACCCCCAATTTCTCCTCTCTACCCCCCCCTTTCCCTACTTTTTGTGTAAAAGTAGAATTAAATGGAACGATTGACACTAATAGTTTAATCAAGCATGCGCAGTACGATGGCTGGGCTTTTTGCTGGCTCGAACGGTGAGTTGTTTTAATTGACAAGTCAAAAACACGCAGAATTAGGCTGCAAGTAAAAAAAGACTACCCACTTACCGATACTTAAAGAGAGAGAGACAGACAGACGAAGAGAGAGAGAGAGAGAGAGA